AAGACATATTAGGAAACCTTCTTTTCCTTCATAATTAAGTTATTGTGCCAGCAGATTATTGGTTTTTTAGTTACTTACTTCTGTCTGTCAACACAGTTTTGTGTATCAGCTGGTACAGATTCCAGGATGTGGGGGAGATCTTAGCCAGCAAACAGCTCATCTAATATATTTAAGGAGGTAACTTGAATAAATTCAGTTCTTGGTGAGCTCGCTTAGAAAATTTCAGTGATTGTGGAAGCTTCCAGACTGCCAGTCTCTACCAGTACTGAATTTTCTAGAGAAGACAGGAATTTCTGCTCTTCCTTTTTCCCCTCAGTATTTCTTTCATTTCCTGAGAACATGCTGAGGCAATTAAATTCTTTATTTCTGCTTATTTGCATTTCAACGGGAAACCATATGTGCTGATGAATAATACTTCTGATGTTTGCAAATGCACTTCTTCTGTCCCCCAATATCTGACACAAACTCCTCCATCACCTGTCAGCAAAACCAGCCAACATCCTTTGAACCTTCACAGGAGTGCTAGCCCTATTTCATATTTCTTCATGGTGTCCATAAGAGTTTATGAGCTATAACCTGGAGAGTTAACTCTAAGGCCAAAACATTGCCATTCCTAATTTCCTCTGTGTTCTACAAGTGCTAACACAAAACTGTAACAAAGGATGCTGACTTCGTCACCTTGACATATATTCGCCATGTGTTGGATGGAGAACATAAAATTCAAATTTCCCATGGACTACCAGACCATCTAATGAATTGTCATTAGCAACATGTACAAATACCAGTAAGAGAACCTGTGTGTACTGTTGCACAATGTACCCATGAGGAGGACTTCGTTTCATTTACCTGAAATTTCCATTCACAAACTCATCTTACTAAGACATGTGAGAAGGGAATCTTCAAATGAGAGGACTGGAAATTGGAAGAATTAGTGGAAGTGACAGGACTGACCTTCAGGGATGAAATAAGGTGCTCTGGGAGCACTTACGTCAGAAACTAGCGGTTATTTATAACTATTAAGGCAGTGCAGCTCTGTAATACCCCCAATCAGATCAAGGCTTGAAAAAACAAGCTACAACTAAAAAGGAGTTGCTTAAAAATTATGAAAGAGATCCTGTGATGGTCACCTGCTCTGACACACACTAGCTTTGATGACAAAAGGCTTTCCTATGAGAGTGTTTCCATTTTGCTAAATAGGTTGTTGTCTTCTCCTCCCCGCAGATATGCACGCTGCTCAAGTGCAAGAACACAGACTCGAACACGTGCGGGCAGCCAGTGGAGTCTGCGCAGACCAGGTTTGAGAGGTTCTCCCTCAGCGGCACATTTGGCACCAGCTACGTCTTTCCAGAAGTCTTGTACAGCGGCGTGCAGCTGGCCCCCGGGGAGTTCGAGGTAATGGGACACCCCAGAGCTGTGTCACGCTAGGTTCTCTGCAAGGTAGTAATGGAATAAACTATCTGGAAATAGCTGAAATGACCTTGCTCATAGTGAATAATCAGATCTATTAAATACCTTTTAATGAAGTCACTAGTTTCAGTAAGAGATATGGTCTGATGTACCTTCTTCCTGTTTTGTCACGTCTTTCTGAGCTCTTAGCTTGTTCATACGGGTATTCCTCTAATTATGTCCTTCTCTTACCTGTTTCAATCAGGTATTGAATGATGGTCGCTTGATAAGTAAGAAAAGAACAACAAAACCAGTGGTCACTGTGACGCTTTTTGGACGCTGGTATGAAAAGGATCATCTGAAACAAGACCCACAGTCACCAGCCTTCCCATGATGTTACCATACGTGAAGCTGTACACTATTAATCTCACATCCAAATGAGATACAGCATCATCTACTACAACAATCCCAATTACGTATCTTCTTTCCAGTTGCACAAACTTCTAATCAATGTGCTTTGTTTAATAGTAATGCAGAAATATTATTTTATTGCTACATGTTATTGGTTTTATTGCTTCACATATTTATTTCTATATCATAAGATTACTAATCTTTTATTAATGCAAAACAGCAGTTTCATTTCTCTCTTTTCTAGATTTTTATTTTTCTAGCCCTCAGAAAATCTATATTGTGGGCCAGAGGATACATTCTTATTAAAATAGCATTGCATATTTTATAAACACAGGTTTAGGTTAGACATTAGGAAAATTTTTTTCAATGAAAGGGTTGTCAAGCATTGGAACAGGCTGCCCAGGGAAGTGGTCAAGTCCCCATCCCTGGAGGTATTTAAAAGATGGGTAGATGAGGTGCTTAGGGACATGGTTTAGTGGTGGGATGGCAGTGTTAGGTTAACAGTTGGACTTGATGATCTTAAAGGTTTTTTCCAACCTAAACAATTCTATGATTCTATGATTATTATGACACCAGTAAATAAAACAGTGAAAGATGTGATTCGTGGCAGCTCTGTACAAGAAAGCTCAGTAATGCTTCATCTGACATACAACTACTTATACTGATCTATGCAAGTCTGCTCTTTTACCTCACGCAGGTTTTTTTCCTATTTGTATTGCTTCAGTTTTGTTGCCTTTATGCCACTGGTGCACGTGGTGTGGCACATGGCAGCATCATGGAGCCTGGGCAAGAGCTCCAATCAAAGACCAATCCTGAAGCAAAATCTGCAACTGCTTCTTGGTCAGAACTCAAGATGAATCATCATTTCTTTCAAATATCTATAGAACCAGAACTTGGAATTGAAACCTCAAAATATTCTGCTTGCCAGTTCTGAACAACAGCTTGTCAGCACCTGCTGGCTGCACTGGATGCTATTCAGTGCTGGAACTGTTTGCACCCAGTAAAGAGGTCACCAAGGGATGTCATATCATATAGCAGCTCCTCCCACCCATGTTCTCTATTTCTTTCTGGCCATATAACACCAACATATGTGACATAAGCTTTGTCCTTTGCTCCTTCATGATAATGCTGGGTGGTACTGCCCTGCAGATTCATTTACTGTAACGATTAGTACTAAGGGGGTTAGATTTCTACCTAAGACCAGCTACTACTGGTGAGAAGGTCCTGTTCACATCTTTTCTTCCTCTTTTCCCCAGTGACCTGTTGCTGCATGCTGAACCCTAGTGACCTTCCTTCAGTGTATAAAGATGTGCATGTTCTGTGGCTGTGTCTTTAAGAGTGGTCAGAGACCCCTATTAGTCTAATTTCTCCTTCCTTTTCCCCACACTGGCACCATTCCTGGTCTCAGAATGGTGCTTTCAAGGTCCTCAGTCCCACGTACTTCTGTTATGGAGCTGGTGAGAAGTTGGGAGTGCAAATACTACCCAAACTCCAGCACTGATTATCACTGCTGTGCACCATACGACCTTTTCTGTTTTCACATGTAAATAGATACTCACGTGTGACATAGCATAGTGTCATGTCTATCCTAATGACATGTTTACCAAAAGCCCCAGGCAATGTAGTCTGACTCATGGAAGCTCAACATCAGTGCTGCTATAGCCATGCTCTCTTAAACCTTGCTCACTGCTGGAGTCAGTTACTGTCTGACCCCAGACCGATGCCAGTGTGGCAAGGGATTATCCTGTGTGATCCTCTTCCCGTGGGTACAAACTCAGTGCAGGCACTGTGCTTGTTTCCTGGGAACCTGAGAGTGATACTGCAACTCTCTCCTGGGGAAAGGATCTGGATTTAAGGGAGGCTACGGCACGCAAGAGGGTCTCATCTTGCCATGCAGAAGGGATTCGGCAGGAGCGCATGGCTGGTCCAGGAGCTGAGAGGCAGCTCCTTCAGGTCTGTTCACTGCAGATACCAGTCCTCTGGCTAAGGGAATGTGTGTGCAGGTAGTATGTGGTCCCAATCCTGAATCTGGTGAGTATCTGGAATTCAGGATTTGGTCCAAGGTCATTGTGGTTTGGTTTAGGTATGATGAATATTTTCCTGTAGAAGACTGGCATAAGCCATCATGGCACTAAATTCTTTTTGCTTCAAAGATTGCATAACATTTATCATTGTGAAATGTGTTATTGTGTGAACCGAGTCAGGCATACAGAAAGTAATACTACGCAAGTCTACCCATGCATCCGCATGGGCAACCAGATAGAAGTGATTTTTGCGCATGAGCAACTTAACTTCAAGATTTCTGCTGGAGTGATGTGCAGACATAAGAAAGCCGGTTGCAATAGGCAAAGTTTAGAAATTGTGGCTCCCATTCATAATTCTCTTCCAACAGAGACCTTTGGGAACCAAAGAACTTGAGAGCTCAGTTACTGAGTGATGTGCTGATGGGTTTGTTCAGAGAAGCAACCTGCCTGGTAGCCCCCACTGTGATGAGAAGCAGCCCCCAAAGGCCCTGCACACCTGAGCCCGTGCTGTGCTGAGCTGGGGCGGTGCAGGTAGTGCCCATGCAGCAACACCGAGCTCGGGACCGGCCCCTGGCCTCCTGCAGCCCTGCCTGCACCCCGCGCCCTCGAGTTTGGGCAGGAATGTGTCCGTGCTGGTCTTGCCTGAGATTTCCCAAACTCGCTTGCTTTCCTGCCGTGACCCAGGCTTGCCTTGAGCGGCATTGCTACAGCAACGCCACACCTGAATCATTCACAGATCTGCCAGGCAATGTGCTATTTTTTTTGGCTGCAGCACAGAGGTTACTTCTCCATGACTTCTCTGTCAGTGGTATAAGGCAGAATTGCTCAATGCTGGCAGCTATCTTGCCTTTGATGTTGTGAGTCTTTCTGGGCAGGGTGATTGCATCTCCTGGTGTCAGCTTTCTGCCACTCTGGGGAATTCCCAGGTTTTGTGCAAGACTTTCCATTTTAAAACCCACTGGCTTTGCTTGCCCCATCCTTCTCTTGGGCGACTTCCAGGCCCCGGACGTGGGGCTTCCTAAAGCTCGTGCCTCTGCCGTGCTTTTGGTGCTGTCTGCTCTGGAGGCCTGTGCCCTGGACAGCTACGTTGCAGCCATCTACGAGCACAACGTCATCTTGTCAGAGGACACTGAAGTGCCAGTTTCTCCTGAGGAGATGGACAAAAATAAGACTTCTGGGTGAAACTACATAGTGAAGAGGAAGATATTGTCAGGATGAAGAATATTTTCCTCGATTTCTTGCTGAATGGTAAATGATTAGCCAGGTTATGTTCCTTTACCCTCACAGACATACTGCTGGGTCTAACGAAGGCTTTTTTATGAAGCACGTGAACCTACAGTTGTAATCTATTTCCAAAATACTATGCAAAAATTGCTTTCCATGAGAAAAAAACTGCTTTGCATGAGTAATTTCAAATAGCTTATTGTGCAAAAAATGCCTTTTGTAACAAAAATAGTAAAAACTAAATCTGTGATGTTTAATTCTTTCTCACAAAGCAAGTGGGTATGTTAGCTCTGGGCAGAGAGATCAGCACAGTTCAAGGGTTAGTTTATATTGCAGCATGAATCCAGGAGGGAGGACACTCTCAGGGCACCTGCGACAGCTATAATAAGACCTTGGCCAAAGGCAAGAGGCACGACAGGACCATGTGTCTCCTAAGCATAGGTGAATCAGCTCCACCCTGAAGCGTGAGGTGTATTTCACGTGGGGGGTCTGCCTGTGGCCCTGGCTGAGTTTTTAATGGATGGCAGCCAGGGCACAGTAAGGTTATATGGGGTAGTGTACCCTAACCACGAGAGTCTGGGCTCACCCCGAGATGCGTTTGGAAGCCTGGAGAGGGATGTACAAATGCAGCGTGTAAGTGCTCCTTCCATGGAGGTCCCCGTAGATCAGCATGGCTTCTGGCATGCTCTCTTAGCCTTTCGTTCACGTTTTATTTACAACATTTCGAACGGGAAACAAGATCCAATTCCAATAAATGTTTCTTTGACTTCTTACCATAAATAAACGTCCTGGTTGTTGGCAGAACTATACTGTACCTTCTCAGATTACTCAATAGAAGATTATTTACAAAGCAAACATATTAGTCTTTACTCCTCCTCTTCCTATCCCGTTTATATTCCCCACGCCTGATCCAGGAGCTGCGAGGCAGCAGCCATGCTCCCTTCCCAGTCTCTCCTGCATGCTGCGGTGTTTGCACTCACAGTCCTTCAGGCCCTTGCCTCCGACACCTTCATCGCTGCCGTCTATGAGCACGCGGTTATCCTGCCAGATGCCACGGACGAGCCCGTTTCTCCCGATGATGCTTTGGCCCTGATGAACAAAAACATGGATGTCTTGGAAGGGGCCGTCAAGGAAGCCGCCCAGCAGGTACTCGGGGTATCGGGAGCGCTGTGAATCAGCATTTCCTGCTCCTGCTGCCCCTCCTGGTTTCCTGTTGATGGGTGAATTCCTAACGGAGGCTGTTGTTGTGTCAGGGTGCCCGCATCATTGTGACTCCTGAAGACGGCATTTACGGCTGGCGTTTCACCAGAGAAACCATCTACCCCTACCTGGAGGATATCCCTGATCCGGCGGTGAACTGGATTCCCTGCACCGACCCCACAAGGTGATTTCTTCTGCAGTCATTTATGTGGTTTCAAACTGGTCTCTCAGGGAGTCGTGAGCTGCTCCCAATACATGCCTAAGCACTGCTAATTTTTTTAATCTATGAAAAATCACTAGTACTGTAGAAATGAGATGCATCAAAAGGGACTCTTAATTAAATGGTAATCAGAATATGCAAGGTAAAAGCATTGACACAGTCTCACTTTCGAAAATTGCAAAAGGAGGAAAATGAGGAACTTTTAGGCAAAATCATTATTATTAAAACATGTAAAACTTTATCACTTCAGATCAATTGTGAAAATCTTCTGTGAGTATATGTGAATTTATTACCATGTCAGATGCATAGATTAGACAAGGTGATTCAGTCCTCAGCTCATGTGGCTGGGTGATTTCTAAATCGAATTGCACAAAATATTTCTCTAATCTGAACAAGTGCTTTTTAGAAATCCAACTGCTTGCTCAGTCTGCTGTGTTACGCGGGCCAGCTCTCAATATGTGCCAGCAGGGGACACCACGAGGACGAGGTCTGTGTCCCAGCTCAGCTTTTGCATGCTTCTGTTCTGAGGCTTTATGAAGGAAGATTTCAAGATTCCTCAGCTCTGTAAATGCTGTGGCCACTTTTTTACCAGAAGGTTATGGGCAGCTGCCTTAAACAGAATCAAGAGTCTTAAAAAAGGATAAACTGGTCTCTTAAATCAAGATTTAGGTCTGCCTGAAAATTTATTTTTAGGTTATTTAAAGTTTATATTTGTATATTGATTTAGTCTCTCCTCTGTTTTCTGAAGCTTTCCGTATCTTTGTATGTGTCTTAGCCGGGAATTATATCCACAAAGAAAGTAACATTGTTAAGGGTACAGGAAAGAACAACACAGGGAGAACATTTTTTAAAGCTAAAAGAGACTGGCAATTTAAAATGCTGCTATAAACAGAGAAGAAAATGAACAGAAATTATGATTTGACCTATCCCTTTTTCTGCGCCTGGGGATGTGCAGATAGTGGAATAGCAATTCTCAATGCATTTCTTTCACACCTGAACTCGAACTTGTGAAATTTTGGGGGTTTTTTCTTTCACCAAAAATGCATTAGATTTGCTCCAGCACCAGTGCAGGAGCGACTCAGCTGCATGGCCAGGAGTAACTCCATCTACGTGGTTGCAAACATCGGGGACAAGAAGCCGTGTAACTCCAGTGACGCCGGCTGCCCTCGCGACGGTCGCTATCAGTACAACACCAATGTCGTCTTTGACTCGGAGGGGAAACTGGTGGCTCGTTACCACAAGGTAGGGAGGCGCTTCGGCATCACCCTGTAATCGATTATCAGTATACTTTTCATCTCTCTGGCATCAATTTCAGATGGTTTATACAATAATTTTACATAATTTTGGAGTGACAATGAAGCCAGGATGATCCAATGCAAGGATCTTATAGCTAGAAGGAAAAGCAGGCAAGTGCTTGATCGATCAGACATTACTTCCAGGAGCACCACAGCTGCAGAGCACATGCCGGCTACCAAACACCTAAGGGCTACTTTTATGATATTAAATGTGAAAGAAACAGTGACAGAGTTTTCCATAGTCAGTAAATGTCAGCTGGTCCTCAGGCACAGTTTTAGCCAAGCCAGATAGCGCTTTTGCAGGTGTCGTCCTGGTAGGATTTAGCAGTTGATATTGGCTGGGCATTGCTTCCAGGCACAGCCACCCCATTTTGCAGGGGGAGAGGGTCAGCTGGATGGATACAAACCCCCCAAGCCAGGCAGCTCAGGTATCTCAACCGCCAGCTTTGCCTTAATGCCTATCTCAGATGCAAAAGTAGCTGTTCATAATCTTGCCTTATTTTTAGTATCTAATATGCAATTTTCTTCACCTGCAGTACAACCTATTTAGAAGAGAAACTCAGTTTAATTACCCTAAAGAGCCAGAAGCCGTCACCTTTGAGACCCCCTTTGGGAAGTTTGGCATTTTCACGTGCTTCGACATCCTTTTCCGGGAGCCTGCCGTGGTCCTGGTGAGCGAGTTGCAGGTGGACACCGTGCTCTTCCCGACGGCTTGGATGAACGTCCTGCCCTTTCTGACTGCGGTTGAGTTTCACTCTGCCTGGGCTATGGGCATGGGTGTCAATTTGCTTTCAGCAAATACTCACAACATCAACTTGGCAATGACAGGTGAGTTGTATTTAGGAAGAGGGAAACTGTCTTCGGAGTACTGGATTCAGAAGCAGGCAAAAATGTTTTACAAACAGTGAAGTCTCTGGAAAATAGTATTTCAATCAGAATAAAAATATTCTTGATGTTGTGTTGAGTGTAGTAAACAGTTTCAAGAAAAGAAATGTTGAAAATTCTGGAAGAAGTAAAATTAGAAACTGCATGGCATTGATAATATAGAAGTGAAATCTTACTTCAAAAATAGCACAAAGTTTAACTTAAATTTTCAGCCTCTCAGTTAGAAGCAGCATTTTTTGTTTAAAATTCAGTCAACAGTTCAATGGAGAAAAAAATGTTTAAATGGAAATTAATAACCTGAACCCAAAAGGCAGATTCCTGCT